AAAAAGCAACAAGCACACAATCTCGATCTTCTCTCCCAGAGGACTCTCAGGTATGGTCCAATTGTCAGACTTTATCATTATCAACTTGTTTACACTGCAGCGTAACAGCAGCAGCGTCTTTCCATCGCTTCGTCGAGTTTTAGCGAGAGAAAACAGCGTGGATCGATTTGTCCGCTTGGACGCGGCAAATTGAGGTGTTTACAGCTGCGCGCAAGTAAAGGGAGTTTGTTTAGCGTTTTCCACAAGTCCTCCGTGTAATTGAGATACACGGAATTCACTTACATTGGTCCCATTTTTACATTTTTATATTTTTCCCATTAGTTTTTACTTTTGGCGATGTTTGCTCGTTATATACTGCACATCCATTTAGTTACGTAAGACGAAATAACGATATGGCATGCACGGAATCATTTTTATTTTCTAGAACTTTAACGGTTTCAGCTCTAGTTGTAGAAGACTCAAAAGTGGGTTCTATATTAAAAAAAAAAAAAATAATCGCCGATATCCAGCGTTACAATTGATTAATGCTAAAAAAGAGCGCGAAAATTCAAATTTTCGTATACTTTAAATTATTTGTATTATATATCTAGGAGTGCAATATTTATATTTTATCAGTGAATTCAATTTAATAATAATTAATATGGATAATAATCTTCAAGAATAGAAATATACCGTTAATATATCAATTTAAAAACATAAACAGTCATGTTTTGAAATTATCAGTACAAATCGATAATTTAATAACCATCTGTGATAGGGAATATTATCGTATCAAAATTTGGTTATGTAAGAGAGAAAGTAAATAGAATGAAATGGAGAAAAATACATTTTTATCTTCTGTACAAAATATTTATCAGAATATTAAATCCATTAAATTTGAAAAATGTTCATGGGTGTTATCAACGAGGCAACAAAAAAACTCGATGTTAAAGTTGAATATACAAAATTACTATACCCATACTAATATAAGACTGGAGCTGTAACTACTAATATTGAGTTTATGAGTATAATAGCTTAGTGCATTTTATCAATCGTAGGTTTAACTCATCTTTACATAATTTTTTCGATAAATAAAGTGAAAACTCATCGTTTTTGTGAAAAAATGAGCGTGAATTCTATTTTTACTCATCAATGAATATCAATGTATTTCAAATAGCATGATTTATTCATGCCCATTACAATTTCCAAGATGGCTTATAAAAGGTTTAAATAATGTAATACATATCAGAAAAACATAAAAAAAAGAGCATGCAAAACGCGTTAAATAACACTAGTTATATAAACTTTCGATTTAGTTTCAAACGTCAGCAATATATTATTAAGTTTCAAAAAAATTACTATCAAATAATGCTCTTATTAGTCTTCAGATACGTACTTGCGAAACATACAAACAACTGAAAATCCATGGGCACTACACATGCAGAGATTATATGAATGAAAAACATTTGATTGACAAAACACGAGTTTCGATACACGTAATTATCCGTCAATAAATTGGAAAAAAATGAATTAATTTTTTTGTTTACGATCAACGCAGCACGGCATAATTATCTACACGTGACTAGTTGGATATTGAATTGATGAGTGACGTTTGCGTAAACTGTGCAAGCTTGATCAAGCAGGAAATCATAGTACGAGCTGTTTATTTACCATCAACACTGCACTAACACATGTTGCAGTGACCGAAGAACGTCTGACTGATCAGAGAGGTGTCTCTGTGCTTATATTCACATATTTTCATTTCACTAAACGTCAATGGTTTGATTCAGCTGTTCTGCGTAATGAATTATTCGATTTAAAAACTCGACATTTTCGCCTTCCTGTGCTTTACTGATTGAAAGCCAAATTTTGCTTTAACAACTGTACTTTTACGTAATTAAAATTCGAAAAATAGTAGTCTACATATTGTTTGAGACGTGTACAATGTATCATAATTCTAACCATTATGAAAGATTTCTTGCTTTTTTATCGTCACAATTAATCTGTACTTATGAATAAAAAAATACTATTTTTCAGAGCTAATGAAGGAGATCTTTAAAGCTCCATCACGATAATTACCGATACGAGGCCAGTTATAAATGTAAGTAGCCGTTGCCTTCTGCTGTTGAGTATCCTCGTTGGAGTAGACCATCAAAGTGCAAGCAGCTGAGAGTCCATTAGCTGAGCAGTGGCAAAGGTTGCAGTTATCGTAGAATAATTCACCGACGAGACATACTTGTCCTTGTAAATGTTCGTTCACAACATGTGGTTTATTTTTTTAGCGTACAATAATTTTTACTCTTTCAGATTTGTAAAATTTAGACAACAATGAAAATATTCATGAGTTCGAAAGAGCTATGTTGTAGTTGCTTGACTCTTTTGATAGGCAAATCGTAGTGGTGCAAGTTGCGGAAAAGTTGTTCAAAGCACAGAAACAAAGATTAAGGGGACTAGCCGGTGTGAAATAGTAAATATTGAAAGTTTCATTTGTTAGCATATAAAAGTCGTCTTAATAAAGGTTTCGTCACGAAAACTTTTTCATCTTAAAGGGCTCAATAAGAGCTTATATTTTCTTGCTCACGAGTACCAAAATCTTATTTAAAAGCCCTATAAAGTTCCCTTAATCGTAAATTTTATTTGTTGAAAACAATTGACTTTATCACGCCTTTCTGAACATTGGAACAACGGAAATTGTTTTAGGAAGTCTCATTGTCTTCATTATGATATGTACTATGAAATGAGCGGAGCTAATTTAAAATTAAATAATTTTTCATGTTTGTTAATCAGTTTACCTAAAATTATATATTTTTTTTCTTAATAAGATTTAAAAAATCAGTCGAAGAACATGAAAAATAAGTTTTTTGAAAATCGGCTTCACTCATTTTATAGTGCAGATCCTAACGAAGACAACGAGTTATCCCAAAATGATTTCCGTTCACTTTAACGTTCAGAAAGGCGTGTGAAAGTTAATTTTTTCAAAAAATAAGACGTTACGATTGAAGAAACTTTTTAGGGCTGCTAAATAAGATTTTGAGACTCACAAGCAAAAAAACTGAAGCTCAAATCAAATCCTTCAAGATATAGAAAGTTTGATAACGACGTTTTTATTAGGATGACTTTTATACGCTAACAAAGAAAGCGTTCATTTTTTACTATTAAGCACCGGCTGGTCCCCTTAAAGCTATTATGAAAGTTCATTTGTGGGCATTTTTAGCCGTGGATGTATCTAGCTGTGATAAAAAAAGTTATATCATTAATATAATCTATATTAATATATTTTGCTATTTACAGCTAATTCTTAACTTGGCTACTAAAAAGAAACAATTTTTTATATTTAGCCATCACTTCTATTACTTCCGTGGTGCTATTGACTTTTTCGCAATTACGAATAAATATTTATTATTGAAATCTATTTAGAAATCGAATAGAGTTAAATAAATTGATACTTACTAGATTTAGTTTTAAAAATGCCACAGTCTACAATACTTGCACACAGCCGCGCATGCATCATTAGCGCATGCGCATAGATGCGATTTACGTAGAGAGCCGCGATGGCTTAGTGGATAAAACGTTGGTCTGACTCTTAAGCTAACTAATCGCCCCATGTACATGTTAACTAAAGCCCGCAAAGCTTTCCACGCTAATGCTAAATTATTCTATAACAAATTCCTCAACTCAAAAATAAAACTTATTTTTTATTTTTTATTAATGAAATCCAACTTATCGTACGTGTATCAATTGTGGTTCAAATAATCGTTTGATACTATAGAAAAGCTTACATTTTTCGAATGTTAATGCTTGTGTACTTGTTTGTGCAAGTATAACTGTATCTTTTAATTATAAACGATATATTATTAACCAATGCTTACATAATGAGGCTGGTCAATTTCGCATTGATAACTATTATTAAGTTAAAAATTTGGTAGTATTCTACTTGAGTCCTTGATAGTATTAGATGACTAGGGTTACAATCAAAATGCTATTAATTTACCCATGATATATCATTGGGCCAACCACAATAACTGGAAAACGATCCCACTGTTATATGATCTAATTCCGCCATTATAATATTCAATACCAATCTCAAATCGCGATATTAATGATACCTAGTCGCTTAAATTTATTAAATGATACTAACCGTAGTTGGCTGATAACAGAGTAAATTTATTGTCGAAATTCATACAAGTGCTAAAATAAAAAGTTAAATCGAAAGAATTCCTTAGTGATACTGTATACTTATCGTTCATATGTAATCGTTAAGTTTTTATTTGTAATATTAACAAGTTATTCGTATGTAACTTAGTTTCGGATTTGTAGCTCCTAAGATTTTAGTACATAAATAATTAAATATTATCAGGTACAAAGATGTTTTTATATATTTTTTTATCATTTTCGCTATCAACTAAAAAATATTTAAGCAATCTACGTAGAAAGCTTCACCAGCGCGATAGTGCCATTATTATTCATTTAAAAGTTATCTGCAGTTTTATATTAAAATACTTTTCAAAATTCTGCCGTAACATTATAATTTAACACTTAGTGATTTAATATAAAAACCTACCTTCATGTTTCACATTCTTTGTAAATAAAAACTTTTTTTAATTTTATTCGACCTCGCTAGTATGAAATGTCAAATAAAATACGACATATATTTGAAGTAATCTTTAACGGTTTTCATTGTAATTCTCATGTATTATTTCAATTTATTACTAAAAAAATTATCAAGTAAACAAAATTCATAACAAAATTATCCCGATAATGTTTAAACAATAAATTTTTAAATGAAAGAAATCTAAGGCGAATGCTCACATTTATGAATCTCCACTTGCTTACAAATTGGTGTGTATAAATGCAAAAGATATGATCGTGAAACATAACTGACAAAAATTGAAATAAAAAACTTTATCATGAATTTAATTTTTAAATGGAATTGTTTTTTTTCTGAATGGAATGGATTGAACGTTTTTATTGATTTTTATATAATTTATTTTGAAAGTAATTTTAAGTATACAGAGATGCAATTATTATGATTAATTTTAATCAATTATAGATAAAATAATGTATAATTTAATAATTTAATTTATTATTGTATTATTTAAATATTTTTCTACATCATCGCAATCATTTCTCTTTTAAATTATTCTAATCCATTTTTCGTGTTTTAATTAGTTGCTCTATTAATAATTGTCTGTATTTTTCTATAATCCAAAAATTTATACACTGCATAAATGGCTTAGTAAAAGTTTTTACTACCATATTTTATTTAACGCTTTGATCTTGACCGGATCGTTTTATCTTCAGCATCAAAAATTTGATTTTCTATTTTACTCAAAAAATCAGTAACGTATTTATCGAATTCATTACTACTCTTCCATTTCGTCGTAAAAGCATGATTAAAATTTTCTTCTAATGTAGGTTTAATAGATTCTGCAGCATTATCAATGAGAAATTGAGCGAGTAGCTTGAGTTCTTCAAATTTAGGTTTACTTAAAACATTATCTTTTGTGTACTCATATAGATCTTTAGCTTTTGATGAAGGGAACGTTTGAGCAATTAACAATATCCTGTAAACAATAAATATTTAATATAAATACGTACTTATATTTATTATATTTATATTTATTCATATATCACGTTATTGAATTGTATTACTAATATTGTAAAATAGTTCATGCTAAAGTAATAATCGAAATGAAAAAAAATTATTTCAATTGTCTGGTTTCTTATGCAAGGTTAACACAGTTGTAATCGTAATTGTGCTAACCTACTATAACATAGTTTAATACTATAATATAGTGTAATGTCGGTTAAATAAGACTGTTGTTGAGAACTTGTCAATATTATTTTGTAACTAGTATCTGTTACTTACACAAGTAAAATTTTCATTTTATAAAATCTAGAAACTTATTGTAAAAATGAAACAAACAAGACAATTTTAACGTGGCATTTGTATGACACTCAGGCAAGTAGACTGGTTCATTATTATCGTATTCCAATGATAACACAATCATTCTCTAAAGCTTCAACCAACAACATGTATTATCATAAAGGAAGGAAGTGTGCATTCCGAAACATAATATTATATTACCTTTTAAGAGAAAACTTTTACTTGCTGAACAAATATTTCAAAACATTCACTTGTAAAGATTTATTTTTTACTTCATATTCTTTAATATTTATTTACTCATATATGCAAAAATAATTATAGTTTAGGTTTGAACTATTCTTTTTTTATCATTTGATTTTTTTTTTCTAAATATTTTCACTCGATGCTAAATAATAAATTTACACAAACTAGTTATCTAAGCCAACATCATATGTTATACACGTCGCGGTTAAATTTCTCGACAATAAATACTTCAGCTTTTTCACTAGACTCTTAAGCAATTCATCCCATTATTGTTTTTTCAAACATTCGAGCTGTGTAATAAAAAATAGAATTTATACGACAGATTGAAAACCATATTTTCAAAAAATATTAAGACTTACTATTTTGGACAGAAATTTTCGTGGACCGTCAATAGGTTGTTCACCGCATACATTTATGGAAGCTTCGATACATTCAATAAATAGATATTATATATTGATAGAAATATAGATTGATAGAAATAGATTCTCTTCAAATATTCATCAAGATTTTACTTTTCATTAAAATACTAAATCTATACATTATTTTGTAGACACATTACAAACACTTTTATACCATTCGTTAATTTATGTATATAAAATCAAATTAGATAACTAACACCTTGGACATATTTTAAATAATAGACAGTATTTTTACATTTATAGTGATAGTTAGTTTTACAAGAAGGGTTAGAATAGGAAAATTGAAAATAGTAACACACCTGTGACGACGGGCAAAATTTTTAATTATTTTTTTTTTTAATTAGACGATGAATTACTCCTTTCCCTTCATTTTATTTGAACATCTGTATCTTTTCAAAACAAATTTAGAGTTATTCTAAAAATATCCATAACATGGAAACATCAACATATTCAGCCTCTAGAACATGCATCACCCTTCAAAAGAAAAAAATAAAAAAGGTTCAGGCTTCGGTGCCATACCAATAAGGAAATCTGTCGAGCGAGCGAAAGTCATAAAATTTTTACCACATCCTGTTTTCCCTTTTCGTGAAAATCTAGAAAACGGTTATGTTACACAAGAATATCTAAACGAAAATAATTATTTTACAAAATTCACCCATTTATAGGTATTCAATTTCATCATCATATGTTTTTTTTTATTAACAATAATCCCCGAAGTTCAATCAAGAGTAGCACGCTTTAATATCCACAAAGCATATTTTTATCAAAAAAGAAAATTAATTAAAAATTACGAGTGAAGGACGAAAATATCTGAACATTTAACAAATGACGATAAAAATAAGATTCAAATATTGACACCTTATTAATACGTTTTAAAAAAATTATGTCTTTCTCTCAGTCTTAATGTATTTTTATTTTATGTCAAATATAAGCTGAGGTTTATGTTTCAAATATATGTTTTCCATACTTTTGATAATTAAGTTAATATTTAAGAGTAAATAAAACCATCATTTATATATACTCAATAAATTCAAAAATATTCATTACGAATAATAAATTTTGACTTATATCGACAAAATTCAATTTTGTTAATAGGTTTAATTAATTAAATTGTAAAGAGCTTTGCGAGAAAATATAAATAAATAAATATACTGAATAAGAAAAATAAGGTAAAATAAGATACATCATAAACCATCTCTGGAGAGAATGGCCCAAACCTAAAAGGATACCACCCTCAATCCACCAAAAGATGCATGCCCTCCGGCCCATTTAAGAGGGCCACTTTCAGCGAGAAAATCCCTCAGCCAATCCGTAAACTAACAAAAAGCTTCAGGGGCCTAAGGAAGGAATTTTCCACCTCCCTCAGCTCTCCAAGAGTATGAGACACTCGAAGGAAACTTGAATAAGCAGTCCTACGCCACCACCGATTCAAGGAAGGAAATCAACCTTCAGCTTGAGAGAAGCACTCAAAAGACACACGCACATACACACACACGCGCGCGCGCGATCACCTAAAGCTCTAACTTTTTAGTACGTTTAGATTTCTGTTTATATTAGAGAAGAGATAAAAAGTAAGTCAAAAATCTAAATTCAATTCTTATTTGCCTTGCGTAGTTAGCTCGTTTAAATCGTGAGTCGCGCCGCGTGGTAAGCTCACAAAAATCACAAGTCGCACCGAGTGGTACGTTTGTTGATAGTAAAATAAAGCAACGCCATTCAATGAGTCACCTGGCTTAAGCTCTTAAAACTGCAAACCAAAAGTACTCGCAAAGTCACACTTACGTGACACACCATATCTTCAGATTATCACGTATTACAGCGTTATTGAATGAAGAATTAAATTTGAGCTATAAGGTTAAAGTAACTTTTCTTATTTCCTTATCAGTTAATACTCTACACATAGAATATAATAGTACATTATTTTCCAGATAATTCAGAAATACAAGATGTAATGAAAGCAATAATTTTGTAAAACATGTCCAAAGTAATTCATCTTATTTCTAAATCATGAAAATGTCATTAATAACTAGCGAAATTTTTCAATTCTATTTATTATTTTTAATAAAAAGTTAACATTTCTGAACAACTATTATTTGAAAATTTTTTCAATTTCAGTAAACTCTAAGTAATTTTAACGACTTCATTTGCAGTATTATAAACGAGGGTTTTTGTGATTTCTTTAGCCACATATAGAATACTTCAATTTATTTAGTTTTCAAATTCGTGCAATTATAATTAATCGTAATATGTCGTAGATATCTGTACGATAAATCATAATTAAAAAATAAATCTGTTTTATTTTTATTTATTTAGCATTTTTAAAATATTGGTCAGATTCATACAATTGAGCCGTTTCAATACGAGATTTGTGAGTTATAGAAGCGGCAGTAGTATTAAATCATTCATTTTATTCTTCATTCGTATCTGAGTTAAATAATGAAAAATTGTTATGTCATTGTAGTATAGATAAATATGAGAATGTGTTAAATAAATTATTTATTAATTTAAAAATTATAGAATTTGTTAATTAAATTTACCATTTGTATTTATAAACTTTTCACAAATTGTATCACTTACTAATGGTAACTAAAACATAAGTGAAAGCAAAACATTAAGAACGTAAAAGATACTCATAGTCAAGTGAGTATCTTCTAGTAACCGACAGTGCATGCGCTCGCTGCTTAGAGAGTGTCTATTTAACATAAAAATAGAGTTAGAAAATGATAAAAGCTCCAAATGCTCTTCAGGATTTTGTAGAAGAACGTTACAAGATATATTGAGAACTTTGGTAAATTCAAAAGTTTTATTTTTAATATTGTTTTTTAGTCTCGAAAGCGGTCGTTTAAGCGTTTGTTCAAACATTGAATAACATTTATAACTCGAGAACGGTCAACATTACGAAAAATTTTATAGAGACCTTTTTGATTTAGGCTGATTCAAAGAACCGAATAAAAATTTCAAATCGTAAAAACTCATTTTTGAAATTGTTAAAATAAATTTAGTTTAAACCATTTTGCACGAGAGTTTCTTCTGACTTGTATTACGACTTCTTTCTTGAATTTATTCAGGGACATATCTAGAGGGTATTATGAAAAAAAAATCGAATGAAAATCATTTCCTAGCAAATGCGAGATTTTCACTTTGTCTGATATTATTTGAAGTAATTCTTATAATTTACGTGTTAGTTACCCGAGCGACAAACAAAAAGCATACACTTATTTGAATACAGTATTCAAACGCGAGTGATAAATATTCACAGGCCTAATGATTGATCAATATTGTTAATTGACAATATGAACTAATTTAAAACTTCTACAAATGTTTTCGACAAAATTATAGTTATAGTATCTCAAAAGTGAAAGATAGCAGCTTCGTCTCTAAATTATTAACATCAGAAAAGCTTGCTTTCAAACAAATTCCAACAATGACCACAGGTACATAGACCCTATACATCGCTCGCCTCGCAAACATACTTTGCCTTTTAACCATAGGAACCTTCTGAATTCACCTAGCTGATCTCTGTCTCTCTCTCTCTCTCTCTCTCTCTCTCGCGTGAGCATTAATTAATGTAACTCGACGAGTAATACGAGCATAATTACTTTGCTCGAGTGGCTCTCTCAGTCTCCCGGCCAAAAGTTTGCTCGTTATATCGAGGCGGCAGCCCCATGTGTCAAGGGGCTCCCCCGTAGCCCATCGATTATCTCGCTATTTCGCTCGCGCGAGCTCTGCATCCGCGCTGTAATAGTATCGTCGACAAACAACCTGTTTCGTATACAGTATGAGAAAGAGAGAGAGAGACCATTGCTCTCGCGTACCGTCGAGTTGCTGCAAGCAAGAATCGCGCGTGCAGTAACTATATGTGCTCGAGCTCCTTCGATGCTGGACGATTGTACGGTGTTGCGAGTTCGTAACAAGTTGAAAATAGAAGAACATGGCGATTCTATAGTTGAACATTCAAATTCCAATATGCAAATTTTCGATATTGTTAAGGTGATTATATTTCATCATCCCTCGCTTTTGAATTTACTACAGGAAACATATTGAAAACTTTCCATTATTTCGGCAAAAGTTTTTTATCGCCTTGTTTTCTCTCTAATAACCCTACTTTCTACCTACGTTTTAAAATAATAAAAATAAAATTATAAAAACAATAAGCTTAATGTAGTACAAATTGTTGTTTCGGTGCAACAAAGGTGCACTCCCGATTTACTATAGTTATCCTGCAGAGGGAACACTAACATATCAGTCCGAGACATCAATTTAAATATAATTACGTAATCTGCTTCAATTATACATTTCAGATTTGACTTATTTAACAACCTATTACCCGCTATCTTGTGGAACGGGTCGGCAGGAGAGCATAATTTAAATAAAAATATTACGATCTCGCATACAATATCACCGAAACAAAAG